TGGCGAAGGACAGGTGGGCCTTACGAATGCTTTTCCCGGCTTCTGCCGCATCTACCAGTACTTCTGCTCTTCTCTCTTTGAGGTCTTCCTTGATCGCATCTCTGCACTGCTTTGCAAGCTCGGACGTTAGCTTGCGGTTGCCTGAGGCATGCGCCAAACCACGCTGGTGAATTAGTTCAAGAGTTTTCGAAGATAGGCGACTTTTTGTGGCTATCTTTCTCTTGGCGTTCCTCGCACATTCATGGAGGTGCTGAACCAGTCGATCGTATTCCTCGTCAATGTTGTCAACAATGGCATCTTCCCATGTTGCCGCAATAGTACCAAAGAGTTCCCAGTTGGTGGTCATTCTGGGAGTTCTCTTTTTGAACTTTGCAGTTCTTTCTCCCCGCTCTGTGAAGTAGAATTTTGCATGAAGGAGACGGTGGTCTGATCCCGTTCAAAATTTTGGGACAACAGCGACATCAGTCAGGCAAAACCGTCGATTGAATATGATGTGGTCTATTTCGTTGTGGAATCGTCCACCGGGAGACTCCCATGTCCATCGTTTAGATTCTGCCTTCTGGAACTGTGAGTTACCATGAATGGTCTTGGTCAACATGATGAACTCAGACAGTCTCTCACCCTGTTCGTTCCATTCTAGGCCATGGGTCCCGATGTGAAGTTCTTCAGCTGATCTTCTCGGTCCTATCTTGGCATTAAAATCACCCACAATGATCTTGTAGAAGGTGTGGTCTTCTTTATAGAACTTCTCTAGATCCATGTAGAACTTCTCGATTTCTCTTTCATCATAATGAGATGTTGGTGCGTAGACAACGAAGATAGAAACTGCAGGCAGTGAGCCACATCTATTCAAATGTAAACATCCGATTCGGGTTGTTAGGCATTCGAATGAATCAATGCTCTTGGCCAAGTTTTTGTTGACAAGGACACCGACGCTTCCAACACCTCTTTTATCGCATGTTCCAAGGAACAATTCTTCTCCAGTGTCGAAAACGGCATGGTGAGATTTGTGCCTTCTTGTCTCGGTCAGACCAATGATGTGGTACTTGATCATTCGCGCTTGTACCATCAGATCCTCGATGGATGCATCTGATGCTGGCGTACGTGCATTGAAAGTACAGACGATCATTTTTGTCTTCCTTCGTTGTGGCAGCCTAGGTCGGCCTTGAGATTTTGTCGGCCTCTCGTTTCTCATCATTCTCAGTGCTGCCATGTCGGTGAAGCCGTCAGGGTCAGGTGAATGGGACCAGTTGTAGTTACTGGTTTTGGCATATCGAATACACAGCGGATAGCTTGCCAGGCTCTTCCGTGCGGGCGGAATACTCTCGGTAGCTTGCCAGTCTTTCTGAGAAGGATAGAGGCTTTTGGGGCGACCTCTAATCACCCTTGTAGGTGTTACCATATTTGAACCCTATCAAATATGGTACGACAATTCCGGAAGATGGGTATTTAGTGCTTTATGATGTGTCGCGCGGCCGCTTGCGGCCACGCGGGTCCGGAAAGCGTCCTGGAGTGTGGCGACGACTGGGTAGTGGAAGTAGTGGAAGTAGGATCCATCACATCCTCCAGAATGGCAATGGAGAAGATTATCCATGACTTCTACTCAAATCTCTTCGATAGCCATGTCCACTTGCCGACATACCAAATTCCACAGGATGGGTATGTCATTCCCAACATTCTCCCTTTCGAAATCTGACACGCCATTTCGTCGGTAAAGAAACAAACAGCACCCAGCCCAGACAAGGTCAGACCTGAACACCTGAAGAACCTGCCGTCAGTACTCATCAATTCATTGGCTCGGCTCTTCACTCGCTACCTGTCTGAATGCAAGGTTCCGTCCCAATGGAAAACCAGCAGGACCGTACTACTGTTCAAGAAGGGAAACATCCATGACATTGGCAACTATCGCCCGATCTGCCTAGTGTCTGTCATCTACAAGTTGTTCACTCGAGTCATCCTACATAGGATTGGCAGAACACTAGATGAAGGACAACCATGTGAGCAAGCCGGGTTCTGCAAAGGATTCAGCACCTTCGACCATATCCACACAATAACCAAATGCATTGAGGTTTCTCGGGAGTTCAAGATGCCGCTCTGTTTTACGTTCATTGATTTAACGAAGGCCTTTGATTCTGTTGAGATGGAAGCTGTCATTGAAGCCCTAGCCAATCAGGGCATTCAAGCCCAATACATCAATATCCTCTGTGAGCTGTATTGCGGATTCACTACCAAGATCTCACCATTCTACAAAGAAGTGATCGTTGATGTCAAGAGAGGGGTTCGGCAGGGTGATACCATTTCACCGAAACTCTTCAGTGCCACCCTCGAGAACATCATGTGATGACTGGAATGGGAAGGAATGGGAGTGAAGATAGATGGTCAGCAACTACACCACCTCCGCTTTGCTGATGACATTGTTTTAATAACACCAAACATCAGCCAAGCGGCACAAATGCTGGCCGACTTTGACCGTGAGTGTGGAAAGGTAGGACTACAGCTGAATCTTACGAAGACAATGTTTATGAGAAACAGCCTCGTTCCTGACGCCCCATTCGCTCTCAATTGAACGACCATCTCCGAATGCAACAGCTATGTGTACCTAGGTCGAGAGGTCAACAGGACAATTGACCTGGCACCCGAGCTGCGCAGGAGGAAGAGAGCGGTTTGGAATGCCTTCAAGAAAGTCGAAGAAATAGCTAAGAGGACGAAGAACCTCTGGCTCCGGGCACATCTCTTTGATTCCACTGTTCTTCCTGCATTAACATATGCCTCAGAGACCTGGGCCTTATGCAAACACCATGAGAATGCTATTCAGGTCTCCCAAAGAAGAATAGAAAGAGCTATGCTTGGAATATCATGTTTCACTCAAATGAGAGAACGAATCCGGAGTTCTGACATCCGTTGACGATCAAGGCTCAGGGACGCTGTCTCATTTGCCAAGGTGTCGAAAATCAGATGGGCTGGTCACGTAATGAGATTTAAAGACGACCGATGGACTAGAGCTGTTACTGATTGGATTCCATGGGATGTCAAGAGACCTCGTGGCCACCCACCTACCAGATAGTCAGACTTCTTTGTCAAGATCATGAACGATCGGTTTGAGGCCCTTCATGTTCCCGGAGCAAACAGATGCCATTGGGCTACACTAGCACGCGACAGGGACAAATGGAGACGTTACTGGTGCCCGCTCGAGCAAATCGACGACTAACGGGAAGTTAAGTGATTAAGTGATTAAGTTTGTTTGGTGACACTGTAAGAACAGAAGTATCTCTGAGGAACTTCTTGAAATTTCCACGCAATTTGAATTGTATGATTCCCTAAGAGGACCTGTATAAGCTCCCTCTGAAGTGTGACACTTCAGAAAGAAAAATTGTGCTGCTGTGTCCTTGGAGAGGGTGAACATGGGTAATGGTGACTCCCAAGTGTTGAAATCAGTCAGGATAAGGGCTCAATGATCTGAACATAATGTGCCATTAGTGCCTGTTCTATAAAACTAGATGCCCTCATCATGACTTTGATTATTGTAGACTGATGATATTTACACTTATTATGAATTAGTGGAAGTGATGTCTAAAAAATCCATTTTGCCTTAAGTCCAAAGAGTAACATATTGGTGGTTAGCTTATTTGTCACTGTCACTGTCCTCCCATTGTTCATTGATTTGCTCGAGTGGGCCCAGTAACGTCTCCATTGTGAGACTTGTTGTTACTGTGTTTGGCATATTGAATACATCATGGGGAGCTTGCCAGGCTTTGCCATGCAGGTGAGATACTCTCGGTAGCTTGCCGGGATCTCTGAGAGGGGTGGGGGAATCAAACCCGGCTCGGCCGGGCTGGCTGCGCGCAAGGCAAATGCCCTACCGCTGTGCGATTGCTCCAGTCTCCGATTAGCTTATTTAGAAAAATAAAAGGATGATTAATTTTTTACACACAAAAAAAATCTAATGAAAAATTTGTAATTGTTTTCTCTTACAAAATGAAGGGCTTAATTTTTTTTAATTGCTTCCAGGAAATTGCATAATTACCAATGGTCACATCCTCAAAGATGTGTGTCTCATCACACTCTAACCCTGGAGCTGTGACACAGAAACCCCACATTGGTTGGTTACAATGCCACAAAAGTGCTCATTCAGTTATGTATTAGCCAAAGGACCACTACAAATAAAGCATTACATACCCCAAGGATCTGAGCCAAAATGTAGATTTTTAGCTCAATTTAGATTAATATTATTACAATTTAGATTAATTTAGATTTAGATTAATATTATTACAATTTAGATTAATATTATTACAATCTATGTGTGAGTAAAGATTAAGAGCTTTAAATTTCTCAATTATTATTGACAAAAGTCATTACATCTCTGCTCTATTTTGCCATATAAACCTTTCTAAATGGATAAAATTATCTGATAACTAGATAGAAGTCTTTAGCTTGATGAATAGATAAAAATTTTTATAAGAATGCCTATTTTTATAAGTTCAAGCTCATATTTTCTCCTTAAGCCCTTCAGGAAGAATACAAAAATAGACTTATTGATAAATATTGCATAGATAAGAAGTGTTGAAATAATTTTATTTAATAAATTGCATGTTAATTATATTTCTATAAATTTTGCTGGGGTAAAAATTCTATGCTTAAAATATTTCTTTAATTTTTATTTGATTTCCAATTTGTTTTATATGTATTCATGCTATTGTTTAATTTTAATTTATTTTTAATTTTATTTGTAGTAGCTTAACATGATTACTGTAGTGTAAGTATAAATATTAAATATTATTTTTCTGGTATAAAACTTCAGTAGAGCACCATAAACAGAGTGCCAAAAACCCTTTACCAGTGTTTTATGTTACTTCAATATTTTAAAGTAATTCACTTACTGTTATTTTTATGATAGTACCAAACTATATTGTTTTAAAGTCGTTATTAATGTATTGTGTATTATAATATTTAAAGTTTAAGAATTAGAGAATTAATTGTGTTTTAAAATACCTTTTCTTTAGAGAAACACCATGAAAGAAATATTTCGTAGTAATGGAATTATCCCAGACTTTGGAAAATGGACACATAACTGGGCAAGCATTCCTAGAAACCTCAAGACATCTTTAATAAATTAATTACTCGAGCGCTGTAACTTGCAATTAAGTTTTACCTCTCTCTGTTTCATAAGAAAATTCAATGTGAATAAAATCATGTATGGGATAAAATGCATTTGTGTATATGTAATAAGATATGCTACTTACTAAGTGATATTAATGCTACAAAGTCATAGAGAGATAGGGATTTTCACATGGAGTTTTTTGTTTGTTTTTAATTTTAAATCCCAATGGTAAACTTGATTACGGTAGGCCTTTATTATCTTCCAGAAGGCAAGTATCCTCCCATTTTTCCTATAGATTCCTATTACATTTAGACAACTGACTCATTTTTATTTAGTTTAAAAAATATTAACTCCAAACTAGAGGTCTTCTTTCATAAAAAAAGAAAACTATCTCAGAACAAATTTTAGAAGAACAAACATTTAAAAAATAATATAGACAAAGTAGGAGCTGTTGATATAATTCAGAGTTGAAATTGATTAGATTACAACATTCCAATATAGAAATCAATAAGTTAAACAGTAATTTTTATGTGAAAATTGTTAGATCTCACCACGGGGCTGTTAAGTTCTTGTCCTGGATTCACTAAGCTCTTTCTTGCAGGGGAAGGATTCTGTAATTTTGTTTTTGTAGTTGAGCTTAGTTGGTTTCTCACTCTCCCATCTAATTGGCTGTGCTATTACTGGAATCTTATAACTGAGGAATTTCAAAGGATCAGAAGGGTGCATATGAGGCCGTGAGGTCTAGAGAATTCAAGAATCCATGGTCTGAAAAATGAGTTTACGTTGCAGAGGGCGTGATCAGGTGATAGGGATGTGGGTGACAGCCCCAACCCTGAGAAGACCCCAGAGTTCTCAGTCTGGTTACCAAGGTACCTGAAATTGAATGCAGTTTCATATCTCAACAGATTATCAGCATCATGTGGAATAGAGGCCTTGGGTGACTGCACCAATGGGTGCGGGCTTGGCTGTAGGGGATTCCGAGGGCCAGGGACTTAGACAGCCCTCTCCTGAGAACATCCTAGAGGTTCCAAGCACAGGGAACTTCATGTTGAAGACATTTAGCCGCTTTGTTTGCATCTCCTCTGAGAATCAGTCATGAATCAGTTGAGAAGGTCATGCTGGTGAGTCATCAGGGTAACGACTGTGGGCAGTGGCCCTGGCTACCAGGGCATCCAGAAGTATGGAGCGGCAGTTTGGGGTCTCTGCGGGGAGAATTAGTGAATTGGAGGAGTTGAGCCTTTGACTTGGTTGCAGTGGTGGGTATGCGTAAGACTGACTGGGCTTTAGCTGGGGGGGGACACTGGCCTGTTCTCCTCCACAGAGAACCCCTGAGATTTTAGGCACAGGGACTGGGGTATCCATGAAATGTAGCTGCCTTGCTTGCAATTCCTCAGAGCTTTAATCGTGAATCAATAGAGCAGGGTCTGTGATCATTACGGCAGGGGCTGTGGGAAGTGGGGGTAGCTTCTGGGACTTCTAGAAGGAAATGGGGGAGGTGGGAGGCTGCAACCCACTCCACGAAGGCCCCAAGTTCTCAGCCTAGGAACCTGGGTACTTGAAATTTTTCTGTTTGCTGTCTGAGAGAGCATTATTGAAGTGATGGAGTTAAGGCCTTGGCATCACTCAGCTGTGGGTGCACATGCACAGGAGGGCAGGGTAGGACACACTCTCATCCCAAGGGCACTCCAAACATTGCAACAACTAGGACTAGTGTGCCTGTTACACTTAGATGCTGGGTTTGTGTCTCCTTGGAGGTTTTGTTGTGAATTGGTAGAGCCAGCCCTGTTGTGTGAGTGACCCTGACAGTGGCTACAGGCATGGTTTCTGGGAATTTCAGACTTGGGGGTGTTTGACTGCTGTCCCCACTCTGAGAAAGCCTGGGGTTCTCAGCAGGGTCACTGGGGTTGCAGTTTGGTGTCTCTGCACAGAGAATGAGTGAAGTGCTGGCATCAAACCCTGGGCATGACTGAAACAGCACGGTCTGAGTGCAGTTGCTGAGGCCTGCCTAGCAGGGTGGGGAAGCAGTTGCCCCTCTCTCTAGGGCACTCCAGATATTTCAGCTGTGGAGACCTTTGTGTGTCCATGAGTCCTTACAGCTTTGAGTTGTGTCTCCTCAGAGACTCAGTCGTGAAGGAATACAGTAGTGTCTATGTTTCGTCATCAGGAGGCTGCTGTGAGACGTGGGTATGGATTCTGGGTCTTTCTGGGTGTTGGGGGAGTGGGGTGTGGGAACTGATGGGAGACCACCCAACCCACTCTGAGTAGACCCAGCATTCTCAGCCTAGTCACACTGTGTTTTGTGTCTCTGAAGAGATTATTAATGAGTTATAGTGCTGCCACTTCAGGGGCGCCAGCAGGGAAGGGACTCAGTCTCCCAAGGAACCCGGAGATTTTAGCTGTCTGTGTAGCTTCTGGGCTTGCGTCTCCTCAGAGATATAGTCTGGAGGGTGAGCCAACATGGCAGTCACTCTGGGAGGAGGACATGGCGACCCGGGCTGGGGGGTTGTGGAAACTCTGCTGCCCCCACTGCATGAAGGCCGGTGTACCTGAAAAGTTTCACAGTTTGATTTCTCTGCGGAGCATATTAGTTGAAGTCATGTAGTTGAACCTGGTGTGGATGCAGCAGTGCGACGTCATCAGGGTGGAAACACATCATGTCCCCCTGCCCATGGGCATCCCAAAGATTTCGGGCACAGGGTTTGGCATGTCAATGAGTATCAGCCGTTTGGCTTGCATCTTCTCAAAGATTTAGTCGTGAGTCTGTAGAGCAGGACCAGTGGGTGATTCAATGTGGAGGCAGTCTAAGGAGGTGGCCATGTCTCCTAGGACTTCCAGAAATATGAGAGGGAGATACAGAAAGCCCACCTGCTCCGCCTACAAAAAGGCCTTGGACGTCTCAGCCTGGTTTACAGGATCCTGAGACGTTTCTCAGTTTCATGTCTGCAGCAAGTGTTAGAGAAGCGGTGACGGAGAGAACCCTGGTGTGGCAGTTACTGACAGGATGCCCCCACCCCCAGGGCGTGCCAGGGTTTTCAGTGTTGGGGACCAGTGTGTCCATGAAGTTTAGGCGCTTGGCTGGCAGCTCCTCAGAGAAAGACGTAAGTGGGTGGCACAGGATTGTGGGTGAGTAGCATGGTGGCAGCTCTGGGAGGGCCCTGCCTGCTGGCATTTTTGGAAGTAAGGGAGGGTAGAAAGGCTGCTGGCCCCACTTTGAGAAGGCCCTAGAGCTCTCCCTCTGGTCACTGGGGTATGTGAAAGTGTTCAGACTGGTGTTTCTGCAGTGTATTAGTGAAGTTAGAAATGAACACTTAGTGTAGCTACGGGAGATGTGTGTGTGTGTTTGTGTGTGTGTGTCTCCGTGTGTGCACATGTGTGTGTGCGTGCGTGTGCATGTGTGTGCATGCATGTGTGTACATGACTGTGTGTGTGTGTGCGTGTGTGTGTGTGTGTGTGTGTGTGTGTGTGTTCCAGAGCTTTAGCAGGGCAGGGACAGGCCTATCTCTAGGATGCCCAAAGATTTCAGCCGCGGTGGGGAGGTGCTGCTAGCAGGTCAATATGTACCTGTGAGGCAAGTGCATCAGGGGGTGGAGCCGGCCCTTTCCCCCCTGTCCCAACAAGACCCCGAGTCGCCGTCCATGAATGGCCTTACTGGCTCCTGATCAAGCTGCTTAATGGCCATGATCCCAGAGATTCAGGAACAAATCTCAGAACCCAGCAGGTTTTGGCAGAAATCCCTCCAGATTTAAGTGTTAAAATTTTGGAATTTCAAAATTGTGCGGCCACTACTGCAGCCACACAACTTCATACGTTATTCATAACCAGCAATAGAAAGCAAATTGTCTACTGTTGCCTTTTCAACAGATCTGAGTGTTGGGGTAAAATCCCAAATAATAATGGTGGGTCAAAATATTGAATGTGATAAAATAAAGAGAGAGAATAATATGGAAATCATCTGCCCCACAGGTAAGGGGAGGGTGTGGGATGGGGGTATACTGGGGTTTTTGGTGGTGGAGAATGGGCACTGGTGAAGGTACGGGTGTTTCATTGTATGACTAGACTTAAACCCGAAAGCTTTGTATCTGCTCTCATGGTGATTTAATAAATAAAATTATAAAAAAAAAGTAAGGTGGAGTTCATGCCCAATTCAATCAGCTAATCAGTGGCTAAATAAATAGCAGCACTCCCACATTAAAAAAAAAAGATTTTAGCCATGGGGACCTTGGTGTCTATGAAGTTTAGACTGGAGTGCAACTCCTAAGAAATTTGAATCAATTGAGCAGGGCCAACCCAGCTTGGTGGCAGCTGTGGGAGTTGAGCATGGATCTGAGGCCCTGATCCTCTTCTGGGAGTATGTGTAGGGGTGGGGAAAGGCAGCCTGTCCCCATCTGAGAAGGTCCCTGAGTTCTCAGCATGGTTGCTGGGGTACTTGAAATTTTTTTTGCAGTTGTTGTCTCTACAGATATTATTAGTGAAGTGGTGTTGAGCTTTCGGTGAGACGGCAGAGGTGAGGTGTAAGTGCAGCTGCAGGGATTCAGTAGGGAAGGGTCTCAGCCTGTCTTCTTCCAAGCGTGCTCAGAGAATTCAGGGTCAGGTGTTTCTTTATGAAGTTTAGCTGTTTGTCTTGCATCTCCTTGGAAATTTAGTCTTGAATTGGAAGACAAGACTGGTGGATGAGTAAATATGGCAATTACTATGGAAGATAACATAGCTGATAGGGCTCAGGGCTTTCAGAAGTTTGGGGGTGGGGAACTGAACTATGTCTGCCTGCCCTTTCTCTGAGAAAGCCCCAGGGTTGTCAGCCCAGCCACTATGGTACCTGAAATTTTTCTTAATTGGTTTCTCTGCAGAGTATTTGTGAAATAAATGGTGGTGTTGGGACCTTGGCATGTCTACAGCAGTTACACATGGTTGAGGGGCTTCATCAAATCAGCAACTGGACCCTCCCCTATCCTGAGGGCACCCTGGAGGTTTCAGCTGTGTTACCAGTGTGTCTATGAAGTTTCAGAATCTGCAATT